AGGGACTGAGCCAGAGTCCAACTTCAAAACCAGCTCCATAAATTTCTACCTGTCTTGGGTAGAAACAGACAGATAATTACAACCCAAAGAATAGTAGCCTCAGAGAAAATGGAGTGAGTAGCACTTGGGAGATGGAGGCAGGAAGATCAGGAACCTAAGGCCAGCCTCAGCTACACAGAGTTTGTAACCAGTCTGGGCCCCAAGAGAGCCTATATAATTTCAAGGGATCCAAAAGATAACCACGCAATGCTCATATACTCATTCAGGCAAAACACTCACGCACATAACTCAAAATCAATTTTTAAGAAGTCCCAAGAGAGAAGATGGCCCTATGGGGAGTTAAGCAACTCTGATGAGTCAGACTGATGCTATCAGGGCTCAGACACGGATCAAGTCACATCCTGGCCAACGTCCCTGAGTCACTAAGAAATCTCAAACAAGGCCAAGCGTGGGGTTCATGTCTATAAGCCTAGCCTTTGGGAAATGGAGGCAGGAGAGTCACTAAGAATCACCAAGCCTGTTCTACATAGGGAATTCCAAGCCAGTCTGAGCTACAAGGTGAGACCTGTCTCAGAGAGACATAGAGAACTCTCAAATTTATGAACATTCTATAAAAACCCCATCAAGTTTGTTGAATAATCAAAGTTCTCAAACAGCCCAAGTGATGGTGCTGCACGCCTTTAATCCCAGCACTTGGAAGGCAGAGACAGGCGGATCGCCTAATACACACTCTTACTTGTATGTATAACAAGCCAAGAAAAGGGGGCCATGAATTTGAAAGACGCAAAGAGAGGTAGGTGCATGAGAGGGTTTAACAAAGTTTAATACTTTGTCTTAACTTTGTTCTATGCTGCAGAAGTGCGATTCTGTGTGGTATATGCAGGTGTGCAGACAGTCACCCATGTGGGCATGTGAGGAGGACAGAGGTCAACATCGGGAATCTTCTTCAATTGCTCTCGGTCTTAATTTTTGAGCATCTCTCACCAAACTTAGAGTTTGTCATTTCAGCTCGACTGTCTGGCCAGCATGTCTATGGGGTCCACCTGTGTCCGCCCCCATCACTGAGGTCACATGCACATGTTGGCATGCCCTGCTGTTTACATAGGTGTTAGGGATCCCAACTTAGGTGCTTATGCTTGCACAGCAAGCAATTTACTACTGAGCATCTCCCTAGGCTCCAGCTTAATTTATATTATTTATTATAAACTATATATTTATATAATTTATATCTCTCTGTGTAGCCTTGGCTGTCCTAGAATCCCTTTGTAGACCAGGTGAATTCATATATTCACCTGCCTCTGTCTCCTGAATTCAGGGACTAAAGGTACATGCCACTACCGTCCCCAGCTTTTAAGTTTAATATTTATAAAATGTTTAAATTTGGGTTCGGTCCTTGGTTGGGGGCAGGAATGACAAAACAAAATAACAAAAATGTTTAAATCTTCTGGGTGTGATGGCTCATGCGTATAATGGCACATGAGACACTAAAATGGGACACTGTGAGGGTAGCCTGCACTACATAAGGAGCCTACATTGTAAAAAATGAAAAGTGCAAGCCATGTGTGATGGCCTCACTTGGTGCTCCCAGTCTTTGAGAAGTTTCTGACAGAGAAATAACTTGAATGTGAGGCCAGCCTGGGCTACATAGTGAGTTGTAGACTAACCCAGGCTACAGAGTGAGCCTATGTCTCAAAATAAATAAAAAACAAAAACCCAACAACAATAACAACAAAACTCAGAGGGACTAAGGAGATGACTCAGTGGGTAAAGTAAGATCTGAGTGCTATGCTGAGACTCCCAACAACCACAGGAAAGGTAGACACAGCAGTGCTTGCCTGTGACCCCAGGACAGGGGAAGCAGAGACAAATGGATCCTGGGGACTCACCGACCTGCCTTTCTAGATAAAAGGGCAAATCCCACATTCAGTGAAAAGACCTATTTCAAAGAGTAAGGTGGTTCTGTGCACAAGCCAAAAGCATAGCTACCAACTCTCTTCAAAGAAGCACAGAAAACCGCAACTGGGCACAGCGTAGAGATCAGCAGATATTGGGAAGCCCAGCCCCAACAGATGCATCTGCATCACAGCTCCTGTATCTGCGGCTCAGAAACGCCACAGAAAAGGGGACGGAATGACTATAGGAGCCAGAATACTGGGAAGTCTCTCCTAGAAATAGCTCCACGACCAAGACCAGAATGATGGCCATGCTTAGGTGGGAGGAAGAAAGTTCGGAGGTTCCACCCTTAGACAAAGAGCTGCTGGGTGTAGAACTGCCCTCTCCCAGGAATCAGCCCTCTTACTTCAGCCACACTGAACCTTACAGAAGAGAAAGTGGGAAGTACACTTAAACCCATTGGTACAGGGAACCATTTCCTAAATAGAACTCCAGCAGCACAGACACTGAGAGAAACAATTAATAAATGGGACCTCCTGAAACTGAAAAGCTTCTGTAAAGCAAAAGACACGGTCAACAAGACAAAATGGCAGCCTACAGAATGGGAAAAGATCTTCACTAATCCCACATCAGACAGAGGTCTGATCTCCAAAATATATAAAGAACTCAAGAAATTGGACACCAAAAGACCACATAATCCAAATAAAAAAATAAATAAAAATGGAGTACAGACCTAAACAGAGAACTCTCAACAGAGGATTCTAAAATGGCTGAAAGACACTTAAGGAAATGTTCAACATCCTTAGTCATCAGAGAAATGCAAATCACAACAACTCTGAGATTCCATCTTACACCTGTAAGAATGGCCAAGATCAAAAACACTGATGACAACTTATGCTGGAGAGGTTGTGGGGAAAAGGGAACACTTCTGCATTGCTGGTGGGAATGCAAGCTGGTACAACCCCTTTAGATGTCAGTGTGGCAATTTCTCAGAAAATTAGGTAACAACTTTCCTCAAGACCCAATAATACCACTTTTAGGTATATAGCCAAAGGACGCTCAATTGTGCCACAAGGACATGTGCTCAACTATGTTCACAGCAGCTTTGTTTGTCATAGCCAGAACCTGGAAACAACCTAAATGCCCCTCGATTGAAGAGTGGATTTTTAAAAAAAGTGGTACATTTACACAATGGAGTATTACGCAGCAGAAAAAAAATAACGACACCTTGAATTTTTTCAGGAAAATGGATGGAACTAGAAAACATTATTTTGAGTGAGGTAACCCAGACACAGAAAGACAATTATCACATGTACTCACTCATAGGTGGGTTTTAAACTTTATAAAGCAAAGAAAGCCAGCCTACAAACCACAATCCCAGAGAACTTAGACAACAATGCGGACACTAAGAGAGACTTACATAGATCTAATCTACATGGGAAGTAGAAAGTATAAAAAGACAAGATCTCCTGAGTAAATTGAGAGCATAGGAACCTTGGGGGAAGGTTGAAGGGGGGAGGGGAGCAGAGAAAAATGTAGAGCTCAATAAATATCATGGATAAAATAAATAAAAAGTTAAAAAAAATGAGAAGGAAGGATGAATGGAAAGGAAAAAGAACCTGAATGCTGGGTATGACACCCAGCAACACACAGACACTAAATTATTCTTCTGGAAATGGAATAAGGTGGGTGGGAGCACGGATCACCCAGTCAGGCATGGTGGCACATGCCTTCAATCCCAGCACTTGGGAGGCAGAGGCAGATGGATCTCTGGATTGCAAGACAGCTTGGTCTGCACAGTGAGACCCTATCTCGCTGGAAAAAAAAAATTCCAGATGGAGCTATAGCTCAATGATAAATTGATTTCCTAGACATCATTTGCATGACACTCAGGACTATATTTGAAGGGGGAAAAAGTTATTTGGCCTGACATCGTAGTGCAGTACTCAAGATGCAAAGGCAGGATTCCAAATTCAAGGCCAGCCGAGGCTACAGAGAGAGTTCCAGGCAACAAGAGCTACATATAGAGAGAGACTTTGTTACAATAGACAGATAGGTAGACAGTCACTCTAGTCAGTAAGGCCATGTGGTGACATACAACTAGCCTGAGATCCATATCAAGACTGTGGGAGCCAGTGATGGACATGCGCAAGGCCCTGGGGTCAACCCCCAGCACTAAATAGGAGATCCTGCACAAAGCAGCTAAGTGACAGCTGTTCTCTGAAGCGGTTCCAGTGACCTGACCGGAACATCTCACAGCTGTGTAGGTATGTCTAAGGAGAGATGCACCTACCTTCCTATGTGGTAATTATAAACAGTGCAAAACAAATGCCCCAGTCCGAAAGGCAAATCTTTAATAGTCACGCCGAGACAATTCCTAACACCAAGAGCTAAATAAAGAGAGGTGGGGGAAATGGCCAATGGCTAACAAAAGCAATCCCCTGACACACCTGGGTCAGAAGACAAAAGGACGAAAACTTTTGAAACGATCGTGTTCTCAGTGCCTTTTAGCACATGCGCTGGAAGATCAAGATAGAGTAAGGTTTAATGATAAAACCAGGAGACCTTAGTTTCAAGATTTCTGTGCCACTGTCGTTGTCATCAAAGATTCAAAGGGCTGTCACCTTCCTGCTAAGGGAACTGGCACACGAGTGGTAGAATTGCTTCAACTCCGAGCTCAGAGAGACCCAAGTTAAAGTGGATGGAGTCCACCGAGGTCCAGCTGGACTGGAAAGGTGACTATAAACTTAGAGCAACAGACGGCTTTTGTGGGACCTGCAATGGCCCTCCCCAGAGCTCCACCAGGAACGGTTAAGTCTGTCGCCTTAGTGTCCAAAACCATAAGCAACCCCAAATCCCATGGACATTTTCCACTTACTCCCCTGCCTTCTGGGGAGGGATGGCGAAGGCGCACCTTCCCTCTCAGTCGTCTGAATCTGGTGCTGTGAATGGGGTCAAAGAGGTCTTAGCACAGACTGGACAGAAAGGAACGATCCATACACGCGACCGACCCACGCAGGCCCTCAAACCCGGCCCAGAGGTCCGCAGAGCCTCCGCAACGGCAAAAGGACCAGAGGAACCCGAGCAAAGACAGCGGCCAGTCTCACCTGTCTCTTGTTCATCCGCCGCACATCATCTAGGAAATCTAGAGACAGCATGGTGAGATGAAGAACGCGACAAACGGCAGCCAAGAGGAAGCGGCAGAATCAGAGTGAGGAACCGCTGCCACGCGGGCCGGACTCACAGTGGACAGGACCCCCCAGACGCCTGCACTTCCGCTTCCGGGGCGGAAGCAAACGAGGCCCCGCCCCCTCGCTGCAAAGACTGGACAAAGAAAGACTGAGAGCCCTGAGAACGGCCTGGGAGCCTGGCCTTGCCACGGGAGGATCTCCCGAGCTGACCTTCGGCAGCCGAGAACCCGCCGGAGCCCGCTTTCCGTGCTCAGCCCGAGGCTGCTCGTGAAGGCGATGACCCTGGGTTAGATAGGCCCGCAGCCTGCAGAAGGAGGGCCGTTGCGTACGCCTGGCCAATCGGAAGCCGCGGCTGCTCCACCGCCAGGCCAGCCGTCTTCCTGCGTACTGCCGGGTCCTGGGTGTGGCCCGGGACGTGTTCCCTGGCTGTTTGTTCTCGGGGTGAGCATGCTGGGGGTACGCTGCCGGAAGCTGTGCGATCTTTAACGCCTCGAGTGCACACACACAGACACACACACTGGAGGGACACGAGAGAGAGAGAGAGAATGAATCTTCCGTAATGTCATGAGGGCACAACCAGTGCAGGTGGCCAGGAAGAACCTCCTCAATCTTGACCCCTCCATACAGTAATTTGCTTTGTCTCCTGACACCTGGATGGGAACTGTTTATTTGACCCGCAAGTTTTCACGGGGGTGGGCATAAGAAGTGACATCATTGCCGTGGTGTTTCTTTTGATGGGTGACAGTTGTAGGACTCTGTGGATACGATCTAAAACCATTGAATTGCACACATTTGGTGAACTGCACAGTATTTGAATTACATCACAATACAGCAGGCGTGAGAATGAAAAAGAACTCATTGGTGTCTTGTTCATGTTAAATTCCCAGGGGTGGCTGTGCGCCTGTCAGTACTTGAATTTAAAGAGAGAGAGAATATCTCCAACTTCTGTTTGAAACCTCATATTTACTGAGATGAAAAGTCAACGTTTTGGTATCTCCAAGTTAGGAAGGTCTATGAGAGAAAATTCAGGCCAGGTGGTGGTGGTACATACCTTTAATCCCAGCACTTGGGAGGCAGAGGCAGGAGGATCTCTGTGAGTTTGAGGCCAGCCTGGTCTCCAAAGCTACCCTGAGAACAAAAACCCAGTCTCGAAAAAACAAAAAAGAAAATACATAGAAACCCCACTAGAGCAGGTACTCCAACTTCTGTAGCAGTATGTGTACTAGAATGACTTACCCATGTTAGTTATGGTCTCAACCTAAATTCTGGCTCATAGAATCCTTCACATAAGCTTATCAATGTTCAATTCAACCTAAAATCAAATTAAGTGCGTATGAGCTTTTGTCCATTTCTTTTTTAAAAAAAATGTATACAGTGTTCTGTCTGAGTGTATGCCTTCTGGCCAGAAGAGGGCGCCAGAATATAATCATGGATGGTTGTGAGCCACAAAGTGGTTGCTGGGAATTGAACCCAAGACCTCTGGAAGAGCAGCCAGTGCTCTTAACTGCTGAGTCATCTCTCTAGTCTTCATTGTTCATTTCTTATGTACCTCGAAGACCCTCAAGATGAGCTCAAAATCCTTTGGGTCCAAAAAAGGTAAATAAGCTACTTAGTTGGGAAGAATGGGGGGGGGGCCACTGGAGAGATGGCTCAGTGGTTAAGAGCACTGATTGCTCTTCCGGAGGACTCAGGTTCAATTCCCAGCACCCACATGGCAGCTCACAACTGTCTGAAAATGCAGTTCCATGAGATCTGACACCTTCACACCGATGCACATAAAATAAAGTTAAATAAATCTTTAAAAATAAAAAAGAATGTGAGGGTGGGGTGGGGCAGGGGCAGGAGGATCTCTGTGAGTTTGAGGTCATCCTGGTCTCCAGGACAGCTAGGGCTTCATAATAGAAAGATTGCTATCTCCAAAAAGAAAAAAAAAAAGGCCTGGAGCTCACTGGCCAATCAATATAGCCTGCTTGACAAGTTCCAATTCAGTAGGTGTGACCTTAATCTCAAGAAGGGGAGGGGGACTGGAAAGATAGCTCAGTGCTTAGGAGCACTGACAGCTCTTCCACGGGACCTGCATTCAGTTCTTAGCGCCCATGTCAAGTAGCTCACTATCATCTGTCAGCTGTAACTCCAGCTCCCAAGGCTCTGACATCCTCTTCTGGACTCTGTGGGTGTCTGCACTCACACGCACAGACACGTACACAGATGCACATAACACACGGAGATAAACAGGAGTTTAAAATAGTTAAACCTCTCGTTCTTTAAATAAGCACCCGAGGCTGTCCTCTGGCCTCCACAGGCATGCAAACACACACACACACACACACACATGCCTGCACACACAAGAACACACATGTACACATGAACTGCTTAGGTTGTTGCCAGGCCTGATAGTGCGTGCCTCTTTTGTTTTGTTTTGTTTTTGCGGGCCCTGGCTGTCTGGGAATGTGTTCTGTAGGCCAATCTGGCCTCAAATTCACAGGAAGCCTCCGACTTCAGCTTTCTGAGTGCTGGGATCCCAGGCCACCGCAACCGGCCAAAATATTTCTCCTTTCTTCAGATTATATTGGTGCTCTAGCATATCAGTAAATATCCAATAAAGAGAATGTAGTTGATGTTTGGGGCTGTTGCCAAGGCTCACAACCTGAATTCAATACCCAGGATCCACATGGTGGAGGAAGAGAACTGACTGCTCAGAGCTGCCCTTTGACCTCCACACATGTGCCAAGCCTCACTTGCACTCACACAGAGTCAATGCAGTAATTTTTAAACAATGTGGTTAAACTATATGATATATAGTTTCATATATATTAGATGTTAAACTTGCAGTTTCATTGTTACATTGTATTATCAACTGACAAAAATGGGTAAGGAGCTTAAATAAGTTACATGAAACTTAAAAATCAGGATATTGGCTGGGCGGTGGTGGTGCAAGCCTTTAATCCCAGCACTCGGGAGGCAGAGGCAGGCGGATCTCTGTGAGTTCGAGGCCAGCCTGGTCTACAAGAGCTAGTTCCAGGACAGGCACCAAAAACTACAGAGAAACCCTGTCTCAAAAATCAAAAAAAAAAAAAAATCAGGATATTGAGTGCCGTATTTTTAATTTTTCTGATTGTTTTGTGTTTTGTTCTTCTTTTGAGACTGGTCTCATTGTTTCTCTGGCTAACCTGGAACTCTCTATGTATAGATCAGACTGACCTCATAGATTATCTACCTATAACCCCCCCCTCTCTGTCTCTCTCTCTCTTTCTCTGTGTTTTTTCTTTTTTCTCCCCCCCCCTCGCCCCCAGACAGGGTTTCGCTGTAATTTTAGAGCCTGTCCTGGAACTAGCTCACATTCACTAGGCTGGCCTTGAACTCTTAGAGATCTGCTTGCCTCTGCCTCCCAAGTGCTGGGATTAAAGGTGCGCACCACCACCCTGCCTACCAAATTTTTTTAAAGTAAGGTTTGTTTTGGTTCATGATTGGGAGAGATACAGTGTAGGGGTGTAGCACAGATCAGCTGAAGAAGGAAGCACTCCAAGATGACATTTTAAGGCTTATGTGGCAGCAAGAAGGTCCAGCCTCTGTGATGGACTAAACCCCAAACAGCCATATTGAAAGTTACACAGGCTAGAGCGATAGCTCAGCAGTTAAGAGCAATGGCTACTCTTCCAGAGGTCCTGAGTTCAACCTAGCAACCACATGATGGCTCACAACCATCTGTAATGAGATCTGGGGCCATCTTCTGTGTGAGTGTATGTGTGTATAATAAAATAACGAAATTTTAAAAAAAAAAAGCCGAAAAAAAAAGAAAAGCCGAGCAGTGGTGGCACACACCTTTAATCCCAGCACTCAGGAGGCAGAGGCAGGCAGATCTCTGTAAGTTCGAAACCAGCCTGATCTACATGAGCTAGTTCCAGGACAGGCTCCAAAACCACAGAGAAACCCTGTCTCGAAAAACCAAAAAAAGAAAAAGAAAAAGAAAGTTACACAAAGTATTTCCTCATGCCCAAGGTCCCTAATCTAATTTACATGTCCTATTAAAAAAGAGCATCACACGCCCCATGACTCTCTAATCCTTTATTATGTAACATTTGCAGTACACAATAATGCAAGAGCCTCAGGTGTGCCTGAAGTGTCTTGTGACCAGTCATGGGATGGTTACAAGTCCCTTCAGCAAAACAATTCTACAGATCACAGGAAACAGTCACTGTTTCCCACAGGATTCTTCAAGGTCAAAGTACTTGTAAAAAATAGCTATTCAGGGGGCTGGAGAGATGGCTCAGTGGTTAAGAGCACTGGCTGCTCTTCCAGAGGTCCTGAGTTCGATTCCCAGCAACCACATGGTGGCTGACAACCATCTGTAATGAGATCTGGCACCCTCCTCTGGCGTGCAGGCATACATGGAGGCAGAATGTTGTATACTTAATAAATAAATAAATCTTTAAAAAAAAATAGCTATTCATTCTAGTACCCCCCCCCCATATGGTGACTCTGCTAAATTCACACAGCAATACAGTCTGTCACAGCAGATGCTTCAGATGGTCAGGATTCATCCACAGCTAGAAAGCAGAGAGAAAGAGAGGAATCCTGGGGCTCAGCTGGGTTCCTTCCTTTGTTCTGTGCAGGACCCTAACCCACAGGCTGGTGCTGCCCACATTCACAGCGGTGAGGTAAGCCTCTCTAGAAGCCTCTTGTCTACATGTGTATGTTCATGGTGGGGGTTGGGTGCTAGTAGAGCCTGGAGACCAATATCAGATGTCTTCCTCTAGAACTTCTCCAACTTATTTTTCAGGTATGTTTCTCTTGCTGAAGATGGAGCTCACTGATTGGCTAGACCCATGAACCACAGGGACCCTCCTCCCATTTGTGTCTCCCCAGCTCCGGGATAGCAGGTGTGCCTCACCACATCCAACTCTTTGTATGGGCACTGGGTCTGAACTCTGCTCCTCAAGTTTGTGTGGCAAGGACTTTATCCATTGATCCATCTGTCTTCCAAGACGACATCCTTAGCTTTTCACACGGGTTCTGGGGACCTGAACCCTGATCTTCATGTTTAAGCAGCAGGTCCTGGGCATCTTTCTAGCCCCTTATAGAGTTAAACTTAAGTGCTAATGGCTGCTTAGGA